AAAAAAAAAAAAAAAAAAAAAAGAAAGGCTCAGTAGAATTCTGTTGTGTATATATACAACATTTGAAAAATCCATTCAGTTATTTCCATATCTTGGCTATTGTGATTAATGCTGCAGTGATCATGGAAGTGCAGACATCTCTTTGGTATACTGATTTCAATTCCTTTAGATATAAAGTGGAATTTCTGGATCAACTATCTTAATTCCATCATACACCATAAGCTTTTCCCTTAAACAGCTTGAAATTTACATAATCAACCAAGTATTCTCAGAGAAAGCCTCTAGAAGTAACTGTTTATATAGTAAATGTTATTATGGTTATGAGAAAATCAGAAGCCTTCTGACAAGTCTGTTTATTTTACTGCTACATTTTATCTAAAATTTTTTGCCTTTTATTCCTAAGGGATGAGAGTCCAATGAAAGCAAACTTCCTTCAAAACATGATAGAAGACAGAACAGAATCTGCACTATCATATTATGAATTCTTGTTGCATATACAGCAACAAGTGAATAAATGAATGAATGAAGAAATTTGACTTATTTCTAAGGATCGTCACAATAGTGCAGAATACCTGGAAATGTGTAATACCTTCTTTTTCTATTATGTTTGTGGACTAATGTGATGATTGAGATGTTCTCACTGTGATTTCAACAACCTATAGCAAATAAAAGACCACACAGAGAATCAAACATGCAACTCTGAAATACTGTATTTTTCAAATCAGAATATAGCTACATATGATACTTTTTTCTTGCCAATTATGTTTGAGTTGTTATGGATTAAAATAAGACAATATTGCAGAGGCAAAGTACATTTTGTAAAATAAAGATTTCTGTGTTCTACATGTATATTTCTCTGAATTTTTGGCTGCTACATTTAAAACCTCACAAGACCGTGTTGCAGGGAAGTTACAAATTCATTGGTAGTGATGTTTTTAAAATAAAAACAATGGGAAGTAAATATAATGTAGGAAAACTAGAATTCATTCCCCACACGTTGTCTGTTTTTTTGTTTTTCTTTTTTAAGGAAGGGAAAGGATCATCATGTTGACTAAAACTAGAGTAAACTAATTCTAGTATAGCTTGAGAAAGATATGAAGAAACACATTCAAGCTTTAAAATCTGTCAGTATTCTTTATACTTGAAGAACAAAGTCACTTTGATTTGAAGTGAGAACTATCATTAGGTGGTTTTTTGATTTCCCGACAAAGACTTGGACATACTGTCTTAATCTGTAGTGAAAAGAGTTTGAGCTGTCTTCATAAACATTGGGACTGGCAATGATAATAGGGAGATAAGAAACTTTAATTATGTTGATCCTTTAAGTGGATTTTGTTTGGTGCATTTCTGCTCTGGGTATGTAATAAAAATGGGGGTTTTTGGTGAAATGAGGGTGAAGAAGTGAAAGGTTTCTAAAGTACTATCCAAATACATCAGTAACATTTTTCTAAAGAGTTTGTTAAATTGGAAGTCACTCATAAGAAATATTTATTCTTGAATATGAAAACCTATTAAAGCATAAATGCTGCTGTTTGATTTGGTGGATATTAAGATTACACAGATCCAACATATTAAAGTTATGAAAGAAACTTGATTTCTGAAAATCCTTAAGAGACTGCTTTCTTGATTCAGCTAGAGAAATATTATAGTCAAAACTATTGAGTGAATTTTGTTTACAAATAGGTGAATTATATTTTGTGTATTTAAAGTGCTGTGACATAGTATGTTTAAGAGTTTGGCTCAGTTTTCACAGATTGATTTTGTCTTATGAATTTCTTAAATATGTTCATGTATAATACTTGATCAAAATATTTTTGGGTTTTTTATTTTGTTTTAATGGGTTAGAAAATGTGTTTACAATCTTGGTCTTATATGATCACCAATGAAATAGTAACTTTCAGGTTTATATCAGTATGAGCTGACTTTAACTGAATTGTTTGGGATAGGGAAGAAGCAGTCCCTCTACAGTATACAACTACTGCTTGCCAGGTGGATCAAAATAATCGTGTTTTATGAAAATATCTCCCTTAAGCAGTGTTAAGGTTGGTTTGCAGTGTGTAAGTGGCACATTGAACTGGAAGTTTTCTTGAAAGCGGCTTCGTCTATTAAGAAGCAATTTTCAAATTGTAGCAAATTATATTATCCCCTCTTTTAAATAAACAGTCGTTATATGCTGATGTTTCTTAAAATAACTAAAATATTCCTCTTAATGTGATTTTAAGTGGAGTTATTTGTAGGTCCTTTCTTAATAGTAGTAAAGAATCTTGTAGAGGGAAATATTTGTGCTTTTAGGGATAATCTTCCTTGTGCCTCTCACTACATCCCTAAGTGGGTATGACTCTTGTTATTACCACATGCTTTATTAGTATATTTCACAAATTTACTTTTAAATATTATTTTAGATACTGTGTAACATGTGCAATTCAGAATAATTTTATAACAGGTCATGAAAAACATAACTTTAGTTAGGATTCACAATATTTGTTCTCCACATAATGAGAGAATGAATGAGCCTTTGGAGATACTGATACAAAGCAATTATTTTTTGCAATGTTGAATGTGTTTTTTAATTTGATTCTTTTTTTTTCCCCTGATAGGGCACTACCTGCCATATCATCTTGTATTACTTTTTGATGTAAAGCAACTAATATTTACACTATGCCATATTTTTTTTAATCATAGTTGTAAATTATGAAAGATCCTTGAATTTTCTACAGATCTACAACTACTAATGTAACAGACAAGGGCAATCTTGGTATTTAAATCTGAGCATGGCAGTTCTACCATAAAAAGTACTCTATTTTTCTAATTTCTAGGATTTTTAAAATAACATTTCTGTAAGTCTGACATACTAATAGTCACTCAAGCAGTACCATTTATTTTAGTTTGCATATATTTTCAGTTTTTAATTTAATGTAATGTATTGAGTCTAATAGACTGTTTTGCAATAATTAGAATAAAGATTTATTTCTTCTAATCGAAGATGCATAACAGCTATTATCTAGGGGACCACCAAATGTGATTTCAAGATTTTGTTAACTATTACAAATGTAATCCTTACATAGAAATTTTAATTTTGTAAACTAGTGTATAATATTGTAATATTAAATTCTTGTTCTCAAATTCAAATATGTATTGATCTTCAATGTGCTGTGTTAAATCTTGCTTCTCTGAAATGTTGGAGACAAGATTTGTCTTCCTTTTTACAGTTTGTAATTTTCACTGTTTTATTCCTGTAAAAAAAAAAAAAGTCACTTGTAACCCATGCAAACAATCGTTTGATCTGTGCTAACTTATCAACTTGGTTATTCAATAAAGTTAATTGAAAGAGCTTATATATAGTGACTAGTTATCTAAAGTGATATGAGCCTGGTACGGTGGCCCACACCTGTAATCCCAGCAGTTTGGGAGGCCCAGGTGTAAGGATCGCTTGAGGCCTGGAGTTGAAGAACTGTCTGGGCCAGATGGCGAAACCTTGTCTCTACAAAATAGTTTTTAAAAGTAGGCTGGGCGTGGTGGCTCAACGCCTGTAATCTGAGCATTTTGGGAGGCCAAGGCAGGTGGATCACCTGAGGTCAGGAGTTCAAGACCAGCCTGGCCAACATGGTGAAACCCCATTTCTACAAAAAATACAAAAACTTAGCCAGGCATGGTGGCATGTGTCTGTAATCCCAGCTACTCGGGAGACTGAGGCAGGAGAATCACTTGAACCCTGGCCAAGGTTGCAGTGAGCCAAGATCGCGCCACTGCATGCTAGCTTGGGGAACAAGAGCAAAACTCCACCTCAAAAAAAAAAAAGGGCCAGGCACGGTGGCTCACTCCTGTAATCCCAAAACTTTGAGAGGCTGAGGCAGGCAGATCACCTGAGGTCAGGAGTTCGAGACCACCCTGGCCAACATGGTGAAACCATGTTTCTTCTAAAAATACAAAAATTAGCTGGGCATGGTGCCGGGTGCCTGTAATCCTAACTACTTGAGAGTCTGAGGCATGGGAATTGCTTGAATTCAAGAGGCAGAGGTTGCAGGGAGCTGAGATTG